CTGAGCCCGGGGAGGTTTGGGGCGATTCAGGGGGGCGGAGGGGTGCGGAGGATACTCCAGCATCCGGGGGAGTTTGGGGTGTTCAGGGTGGCCCCCATCCCTGCCCCGGGCCATCTGACAGGTCTGGCCGGAGGCTGTTGTACCCATGGTGGATCCATCCCCCGTGCGTGGGAGGCAGCTCCCCCTTCTGGATTTCAGGGGGCTCCCCATAGCCAAGTCCAGCCATGACAGCGGATCCCTAATTCCTCCTCCCCAGAGGCCAATGGTGGGACAAATGGCCTCATGCTTTGGACCAAGACACTCCCATGGCCTGTCCTGTCCCACTGACCCGGCTCCCCAGGACCTCCCTCAAGGTGCCCCTGGGGGGTTCTTTCCAGTGGGTAACCAGTGCTGAGAACATCCGTGAGCACAAGGGGGGTGAGGAGAGGGTTCCAGGAGAGGGCTGGGAAGAAGGGGTTGTGGGGCAACAGGGGTAGGAGAAGGGGGCTGGCTGTAGGAGGGCTCAGAGGAGGGGGTGGAGCTGAAAGTGGCTGTGGGAGCAGAAGAGGGGGGAGGTATATTGCACAGAGTGAGGGGTCCTGGGATCCTCCTCCCATCCTGAGCCAAAGAGCCCCTCCATGTCCCAGCCTGTCACAGAGCTGTCCTAGCAGCTGGTGTGGGAGTCAGAGGTAGAATCCAGCCACTCTGGGCTCTCAGCAGACCCAGGCCTCCTGCCCCAGTCTGGGTTTGGGCCAGTCACAGGTAGGAGGATTCTGGGGCCAAGGTCTAAGCCCAGGCCAGGTGCCCTGCTGGGGCTAGCAGTGGCCTGAGCCTGGCTGAGCTGTGAGCTGAGTGGTGGGTACTGCATGCCAGGGCAGCTGAGTCAGGAGTATTTATACTCCACTGCCACGGGGCCCGGGTATATTTAGCCAGGCAGCTGGGGAGCGCAGAGACCCAGGAACCCCAGATGGGGCTAGAGGCAGGATCAGGCAGCTCTCATAGGAGAGGGGACACAGATAAGGTGAGTAGGGGCCCTAGAATCCACTCTGCTCCCAGAGACAGGAGAGAACCCAGGAATCCTGACTCCCAGCCCTCCCAGATAGTCACACCACACAGGTCTCTTATCGAGAGCTCCCACCCTGTCTAGGGCTTGTCAGGCAGCCAGCTCAGCCGAATTTAGATGCCTTAATCTCTGCCCCTGAGCCAGTCCCTGCAGCCACGATAACACCCTGTCCTGCCCGTGAGAGGCCAAGCCTGAGCACAGGGGTAGGTGCAGGGAGTGGCTATGGGCCTGAGAGTCACCAGCAGAGCTGGGGAGAACAGGGCAGGGCTGTGAGTCGGGCGTGAGGGGCCCTGGCAAAGCTGGGGGTGCAGGGCTCGGCTGGCAGGGGCTGCAGGTCAGGACTGAGGGGCACTGGCAGAGTTGGGGGGAGCCCAGGGCTGGGCTTGTGAGGGGCCCTGGTAGAGCTAAGGGTGGCAGGATAAGAGAGGTGTGGGTGAGGTGTGAGGGGCCCTGGTATGGTCTGGGCGGAGGCAGGCCTCCGGGATGTTAACGTCTAGTGGCTGTGGGACAGGCAGGCTGGAATGTTCTCCGCTCTGTGAGGAGTGTGGGGGGGAGGGGGGCACGCAACGCTGGAGGAGGGGGGGGGGCGTAACTCGGGGTTACAGGTGTCTAGTGCCAGGGATTAGGCTGGCAAATGCAAATCCCCTGGGTTAACTCTTATTGGCTGCAAACAAGGGACAGAGGTGGGTATTTAAACCCCCCCATATTTCAGCAGGGGGCTCGAGACCACCAAGTTTCTTAGTCCCCTTCCTGCCATGAGTCACTGCTGGCAGGTTAGAGCAGGGGCTGAGAGCCCAGACTCCTGGGTTCTCTGCTGGCTCTGGCAGGGGAGTGGGGTGAAGTGGTTGGAGGGGGCACTGCTGTGTGGCTGCAGGCCGAGCAGCACAGGGCGCGAGAAGTGGGGGAGCCAGCCCACCTCCTGACATGAAGGGAGCAGAACCCTGGGCAAGGCTGGTGGGACGCAGTGTCCAAAAGATGTGAGGCTGGGCCCACTCACCTGCACTGGGGACCCCAGGCTTGGGAAGGGGAGGCAGCATTACCATTTGCAAACACTGCTCAGCAGGCTGAGGTTGTGTGGGTGGGAACGGGACAAGGCCACACCTCTCTAGGGCAACAGACCTTTGGCCCCCCAGCAGACCCAGTAGGCTGGGACTAGATGTGAGTGACTTGGCCCTGCCCCCAACCGTCCATGGACTGTACCCCTGCCAGAGCCCCTCTCCAGTACCCCCAACCCTACCACATCCCCTCAACCACCTCACTTCTCCCCCCAATACCTCCCAGCCCTTCCACCTCTGAACCCTTCCTGCTGCCACAGCCCGACTCCCCTTAGCACTACCATGGCCCCCTGAACCTCCACACTCAGACTACAATCCCAGCTCCCCCCCCAAGTCCCCCACACTCCCCTACCTGTGCCGCAGCCCCACTCTGCCCCAGTCTTCCACACCACCCCCAGTATCTCCCAGCCCACCATCCCAGTGTCTCCCCATCCCAGCCCTGCCTTGCCACAGCTTGGCTGTTCCTGGGCTATCCCCTCCACTATGGCAGGGACGCTGACCTCCTGTCGCTTGGTGTCTCAGCAGGACAGACATGGGGTCCTGGATCCTGCTGTTGTTCTTCTGGGCCCTGCTGGGAGCAGCCACTGCTGGTGAGTGCTAGGGGAAGGAGAATGCAGGGGAGCTCCCTGAGTGTGCCCCTGGGGATAGAACCCAGGTGTCCTGGTGCCCAGCCCCCTGTCCTCGCCACAAGACTCTCCCCTCCAAGCTGGGGGGAGATCCCAGGTGTCCTGGCCCTACAAGTGGTGCACTGACCCCTAGATCATAGGCAGGGTGCAGGGAGATGGCCACACCCCACCCCCAGTTTGCAGGGTTTAGGGTTTGCAGTTTGGTTCACTAGCCCTGTCTGCTCCCTCCCACCCCCACCCCATCCAGCCCCGCTCTGCTCCAGCTGCTCCCTGAGTCCAGCCAGGGGTCATGGGCACCGACTTGCAATTTGGAGCCCAAATTGCAGTCAAAAAGCTCCGGGCACCTGCTCGGTTGGGGGGGGGGGGAAGCGGTGGACAGGGGAAACTGGCAGTGTGGGGAGCACAGTTTGGGGGGTAAGGGGGAATCCCAGCAGTGGGGAAATGGCAGCAGTAGGGGAGAGGGCAGTTCAACAAGCTGGGGGTGGGGTGGAAGAAATCCTAAGAGGGGGAGGAATCCCAACAGTGCGGAAAGCAGTAAACTAGGATTCAGAACCGTGGGTTCTAATCCCATCTGTGTCTGATACACCCCCTGGGAGCCTGGCATCTGCTCCCTACCCCCTGAGCTAGCCAGGCCTGGGAAGATAGAGAAAGTAGGGCTGAGCTCTAGTGGCTCAACATGTGGTGCCAGGAAGGGGTACCCAGTCTGTGGGGGGGGGGGCGCTGGGGTGAGTGAAGCGTTAGACCATCGTCCTAGTGCTGACTGCCCAGGGGTGAGGGGATTTTTGCATGACATTTTGCCCAGGGCTTTTCATGCTAGGCCAGCCCTGCAGGCCAGGACTCCTGGGTTCTGCTCAAAGCTTGGGAGTGGGGTACAGTGCTTAGAGTGTGTATGCAGGTGCCTGGGGCCAAAGCGCACACCCTGTCCCTGTAGCAGCTCTGAATTCTAGGACAGAGGGATCCTTAACGTCCTTCTCTCTCTCTCTCTCTCTCTCTCTCTCTCTCTCTCTCAGAGCCTCCCAAGGAGCATGACCCCTTTAACTATGGTGAGTTGAGTGGTGTCAGGGCAGCCAGCTGAAGGGCCGGCCCAGGAGTTGGCCTCTGTCCGGAGTGGGTGAGAAGGTGGCTGCCTGGGGCACTGGGATTAGGTCTCTTTGGTGCGGACTGCAGGCACTAGGGGGCAGCAGCAAGGGACTGGGATAACAGCAGGGGCAGTAAAACAAAAAAAGCAGTCATGTAGCACTTGAAAGACTAACAAGATAGTTTATTAGGTGATGAGTTTTCGTGGGCATATTCTGAAATAGAATTGGCATGACCACTATATAACAGAGGGATACAATGAAAAAAGTAAAAAAAATTACAAACCAACAAATTAGCTACATCAGCAAGGCCTAGCCCTTCCTGCAAGGTGTGGCAGGGGCACACACACATGCATGCTGGTTGTGTATCAGTGTGTCTCTCTGGGGGAGTGGGGGAGGTTCCTCCTCCCCCTGACCCCATGTCTCCCCCCAGACTATCAATCCCTGAGAATTGGAGGCCTCATTTTCGCCGTCATCCTCTTTCTGCTAGGAATCCTCATCATCCTCAGTGAGTATTCAGTGCTCCCCAGGGGGAACCTCCCCACATCCTGATCCCTGCTCAGGTCTGGATTGGAGCCAGCGTCCCCTAGGGGGAAAGGCCCCGTGTCACATCCTCCTGAGTCAGCCAGTCCCTCAGTCAGGGTACATCTACACCAGTGTCTCTCAACCAGTGGTACAAGTACTAGAGAGAAGTCTGGGGGGTATATTAACACAACTGAAATTTGGAGAAAACTGAATTTTTGTGTTAAGTTTTACAGCACTTTATTACTTTTGTACTTTTTACACCAAAAATTTAAACGCCCGCCTGACTATGATTAAGTTGTTTAAACGAATGTGTTGCACTGATAGAAAATAATTTGTGTAGGTACTGGGGGTACTTATAATTTTTTTTAAAAATGGGTACTTTATAAAAAAGTTGAGAAATACTGGTCTACACAACAGGGCAAAAGTTGAACTAAGGTATGCAACTTTAGGTATGTCAATTGCATAGCTTAAGTTGAAATAGCTTAATTCGGCTTTTGGAGCTGTCTACACAGCAGAAAGTTAAGGAAGAACACTCTTCCTCTGACTTCCCTTAGTCCTGGTGAAATGAGGGTTACCGGAGTCGGAGACTCCTCCAGCTCGCCATTATTTCGAAAGAAAGAAAGAAAGATGTGTGGTCTAGACACGTGTTTTGTAATTTTGTAATAATGTCAGATATTCCAAAATGACGCTGCTGTGTAAACGCACCCTCCAAGAGGAGGAGTCTTTTGGGGGACTAGGATGCTGCCCAGCACTTTGACTCCAGCACTACATCTGCTCACCAACCCCCACTGATCCACCAGCACAGTTGTGTTAACCTCTCGCTGCTCAACCTGCTGCTACTCAGCACCACTCCAACCCACCAGGGCCCACTCCCCTCCTGGAATTCCTAGCTCCTAGCTCCCCTCCTGCTGCATCCTCGGGCCATCTCACTGCTGGATATTTACTGTGTTTTATGTTGTCTAGGTCGCCGCTGCCGTTGCAAATTTAACCAGCAACAAAGGTAAATTGCTCCCCCCATGCATCTGAAGACTGGGCTAGCAGGGGGCTGCAGGTCAGGAGGAGGGGCACTGGCAGAGATGGGGAAGAGGGGAACCTATTTCTGGGTAGCAGGAGGTTGTGGGTTAGAAGTGAGGGGCACAGGCCAAGCCAGAGGGAGATACGGGGGCCCATGTAATGCTGCTGTCCCCCCAGGACTGGTGAACCAGACGAAGAGGAAGGGACCCTCCGAAGCTCCATTCGTCGTAAGTATTAGTGCCCCACAGCTTCCCCCAGGGCTGGATTAATACCTGGGTCCACTGGCCTAAGGTTGGAACATGGCAGCAGGGAACAGTGTTATTGGCATGCAGGAGGCACAGGGCGGCAGTTATGGGGGGGGCACAAGGAAGTGGTTGAGGATATGGGATCCACAGGATGGGGTTGTGTGTGCATGGGGCACAGGGCAGTAGGAGTGCAGGGGGAAAAGACCAGTTTTAGGATGTGGAGTGCGCAGTGAGGGAGCTTTGTGCATGGGAGGGACTGGAGAAGTGGGGAGAGGGCTGAGGGGAATACAGTGCCAGGACTATGGACACATTGGGTCATGGAGACCACAATACGGGGTTTGGGATTCAGGGACATAGTGCTGGGGCCACAGCCCAGAAGGCCACAGGAGTGCAGGGGGAAAAGACCAGTTTTAGGATGTGGAGTGCGCAGTGAGGGAGCTTTGTGCATGGGAGGGACTGGAGAAGTGGGGAGAGGGCTGAGGGGAATACAGTGCCAGGACTATGGACACATTGGGTCATGGAGACCACAATACGGGGTTTGGGATTCAGGGACATAGTGCTGGGGCCACAGCCCAGAAGGCCACAGTCCCAGACTTACAGGCATGGAGGACAAGCAGCCTGGGCTAGCAGTGCGGGGGGACCACAATGTGGGAGATGAGAGCATAGGGGCACAGGGTGAGGTTAGGCTGCAGGGGGCACAGTGCCAGGGTTAAGTGTATGGGGGCATAGCATTGGAGTAAGGGCACGGGGCACAGCGTGGGGTTAGGGATGGGGGGGCACAATGCTGGGGTTAAGTGAACAGGGGCTTAGGGTGGGGTTAAGGATTGGGGGACCCCATGTGGAAGATGGGGGCACAGGGCAGACCATGAGGACATTCTTACTTCTCTGCTGTGGCTGGTGGCAGCCTTGCCTTCAGAGCTGGGTGCCCAGCCAGCAGGCGTGGCTCTCCTGCCCCTCCCCCCCCCCAGCCGGGGCTTCACTTGTGCTGGGCCCAATCCCTCTTCCAACACAAATTAAGAGCAGTGGGGAGCCAATGGGATCCTGGGCTTGGGGTCTCACTGGGACCAAGGCAATGAGGGGGGGGAGCCTATGAGGGCCATGGGAAATGGGGGGCGGGACTCTGTGGGGGGTAAGTGGGGAATCCAAATGCTCTGTGTGCCCACGGCCCCAATAAATCTTAATCTGCCTCAGCCTTACCCTCCTGTTTGGGGGGGGGGGGCTATGTGGCCCATGCCAGGGTCCCCTCCATGCCCTCCACAGAACTGGTCTGTCTAACGTCTGATCCCAGACCCTCCCAGGCACAACTGTACCACAGGCACCTGACCCCTTGACTCTTCCCTACAGGTTTGTCCACCCGGATGAGATAAGGGGCCCAGAGGCTGGTGAGTAGAGGGGTGCGGGGCAGAGGGAATGAATGGGACATGGGATCCTTTCCTCTCAGGGAGCAGCAGAAGCAGTGCTTAATTTGTGCCAGGGCTGAGCCCCCGGTCCATCGGGGTCTAACAGCACAGAGCCCCTGACCCCGCTCAGCCTGGCTGCACAGAGCTCCTGGCCCCTCCCGGCCTGGCTGCACAGAGCCCCTGGCCCCTCCCGGCCTGGCTGCACAGAGCCCCTGGCCCCTCCCGGCCTGGCTGCACAGAGCTCCTGGTCCCTCCCAGCGTGGCTGCACAGAGCTCCCTGGCCCTCCCACTGTGGCTGCACAGAAACCCCGGGGCTCCGGGGTAGCCG